TCCTTAACTTCAGCTTTATCTATCCATTCTCCGCAAGAACTATTCTATACTCCAACTGCAGGGCTAGTTACAAAGCCCAGAGTATATCCTCTACTCTGGCCTCTGTTTATGTTATTCATTCTGCAAAGGACGTCATGTTACCCAGCTTCCCTGTCCTACAAAGTCTCAGTAATACTTTCTCCAACGTCATTTCTGTTTCCGATTTCTCTAAATCTTCACAACCTCCCTATCCCATTGCCCTTTCTCTGCAAGCAGAATTAATTCTGTCCCTTGGCTACACTCCCTCAAGACATAGTGAATACTGTGAATGACCATTTACCACACCACACATGACTTGTGATATATAAGCTACAACACGATTTTCTTAGCAGAGTGTAAACCCTTTGATGGCAAAGTTTCGGCCTAATACACCTAGGAATCTCCAGCCCTAGATCAAGACCTCAATCTTAAGAGTCAGGTAACACCATTGGTTAGTTTTAAACTGAATTAAAATATTATCAAACCTGATACTCAAGGATTACAAAGGGAGCTACAGTTAAAGAAATCTACATAGTGACATATGTTCTTGTCACATTCAAATTTTAAAATGGTACCAAAAAAAGATGAGGGAATGCAAAACATATGAGTATAGATAGATAGAACTATAAGTGCAATAGATGTACTAATAACCAGAAGTAATCAAGGCTCGAAAAAAACGTTATTGACAAGAGAAAGGGCCCCATTACCTACTTCGATTTCAAGAATAAGTTGGCCTGCCCTGCAATATTGCACGAAGGAAGTTAGAACCCACATAGCCAGCTAGGGTTCAAGTCTCAGCCCCAGCTGGCTTAAAAAAATGTGTACAACAGGGTGCATGCACTCATGCCCAGGTCCTAATAGGAGGAAGAATTGGAGAGTAAAAGATTGTAATGTGACCAGACTATTGAGGGTAAAAAATTGCTCTTTCTCTTCCTTTCACTCTCTCTCTTTCTCTCTCATGCAAGTGCACATACTCTCTGGCATCAAAGATGTATAAAAAAAAACCCATCGTTTGGAAAAGATGAGGATAATGTCAAAGGTAAAAAGTACAAAGTAAAATTATTCAACTTTATTTTTGCTTACATCTTTTTCTATCAAGGAGACTGATGTTCACAATATAAGGTATAGGAAAATATTTTTAGAGGAAACAAGATTTCTTTTCAAGAATCATAACACTAGATTCAATTATATTCAAGGGTATGAAATTAACTTGCTGATATCAACTGTTTACATAAAATTACTATTAATAATTTATAAGAAAGTAAGAAGAATGCAATTTTCAAGGTTCTGAGGATGAGAAAAAATAACAATTAAAAACAGAGTGAAGCCCAGCAGATGGGGTAACAGTTATGTTGCTGGACTCCTATATAGCCCACAGCTATTCAAGTTCCAGACTCATGAGTTGAAAATCACACCAAGTGTGTGTGTTCGTGTGTGCCCAAGATCCCAGGAGGAGAATGGAGAACAAGGTATTGTGGTGTGGCCATCCCCACTAGGGGATGATTTTTTGCTTTCCCTCTCACTGTCTCTTACTCTCTCTCTCTCTGTCCAGCAAACACAAAAACCACACACACACACACACACACACACACACACACAGTGAAAATGAAAAGAGAGTGATCCAAGCATTTCAAGGATCTTGAGTCTCTCAGGATACTTCTGAACTCTAATTAAATTATACAATCATGATTTTACAAATGATTTGTCAGATATTATAAATCTATGCTATATCACTAGTCACATTTCACTATTTAGATACAGATTCTTTTATTTTTTTAAATTTCAATTAAAAATCATTTGGCCTAGCTACAGCGGCTCATGCTGGTACTGCTGCTTGGCAGGCTGAGGCCACATGGAGGCCCGGGTTGGATTTCTGGCCCAGCCTAAAAGTCAGACATGATGGTGTATGCCTGTGGTCCCATTTGCTCTTGGGCGACTAAGAGACTAGGATCATGAGACTAGGATCACACCCACTGTGGGCAAACATAGTGAGATCCTGTTTAAATGAGCCAGACCTGGTGGTGTGCACATATAATCTCAGCCACTTGGGAGGCCAAGGAAGAAGGATCATGACAGAAAGACCCTGTCAAAAAAATGTATTTAATCACTTAGTGAGTTGTACTATCCACATTTCCAGTGCTCAGTGGCCACATATAGCTAGTGGTTGCCATATTGCAGACAAGTCGTAGAATATTCCATCATTACACAACATACCACTGGAGAGTGCTATTAAAGAATGTAGTGCTCATTGGGAACCAGCATGATTTACTGAGAATGTTACACTATGCTAATACAATTTCTACCATTTTATAGGATTGTTACACACGAGACAGGAACTGCTTAGATATAGGCTAGCTTGATTTCAGCAAGACATCCAATAAAGGTTCTTGTGAAACCCTAGTTGATAAAAATTAGGAAATATAGACAAGATATAATGTAATTGAACAAACTATCCTCACAGAGTGTTGATTGATGAACTAAAATCACTTATAGAAGTATGATTTGCTAGTTTAATCCAAAATCTTGTCATTGATGTTTTCATGCTCAACATTATTGTCAATAATTTACTTGACAAGTAACAAACAAAAATACTTACCAGTTTTGGGGAACCAGCAGTTAGCGTAATGGCTATGTCGCTGGACTCCCACGTAGTCGACCGTGGTTCGTGTCCCGGTCCCGGTGGCTTAAAACTCACGCCGGGCGCGTGTGCGTGCGTGCCCAAGATCCTGAGAGGAGAATGGAGGAGAAGGGATTGCGGCGTGACCATCCCCCCGGGGGGTGATTTCTTGCTTTCTGTCTCTATGTCTCTCTCTGTCTGTCTGGCGAGCGCACGCGCCCTACAGTGAAAATCTCTCCAAAAAAAAAATACTTACCAATTTTTCAATTGGGAAATTATTTCATAAGTTTCTGGAGAGCAATTTGCTAAAATATAACAAAATCTTTATAGCTTTACTTATTCCTTGATCCACAATTCCTCTTACTCAGGAAATAATTGTGGATGTTTCCAAAGATTTAGTTGTATGCATGTTAAGCATAGTGAAATATTTGAAAAATAATAAAACAGTAGATGACTTTTAAGTACATGATTTGATTACCACTGTATTCCCACCGATACATAATGCTGTACACTTTGTGAATATTTATGAATATATACCAAATGAAATAAAATGAAATGAGGAAAAAAGCAAACTATAAAACAAGCTCTTATACAATGTAACATTTTGAGTATTAAATGCATATGTACTATATGTGTTCATGTGTGCACACATTTATCTAGGTAGGCAAAGGTACACTAAAATGTTAATAATATTTACCTTGGTAATAATATTTATCATTTCAGTAATAGGTTAGAACCTATCTTTGTTTTTCTCTTTTTAGCTCATCTGTACTTTATTTGTTTTAAATAATTATTTATCTATTTCCATTTGTATTATTATTACTTTTTAATTTGACCAGAAAGAGACAGAGCGAGAGAGAAAGAGAAAGTAAAAAAAGCAAGCCACCAGATTCAGGACTCGAACTGTGGTCAGCCATATGGGAATCCAGTGCCTTTAACCACCACGCCACTTGCCAGCCCCCTCATCTGTACCTTCTTAAAGTTCTATCATGAATAGATGGTCCTTTGTCTTAAGAACAACAATTTTTTTTTTTGAAGATGTTTTTGCTATAGGGCGCGTGCACTCACCAGACAGAGAGAGACACAGAGAGACAGAAAGCGAGAAATCACCCCCGGGGGGGATGGCCATGCCGCAATTCCTTCTCCTCCATTCTCCTCTTGGGATCTTGGGCACACGCGTACACGCACCCGGCATGAGTTTTAAGCCACAGGGTCTGGGACGCGAACCGTGGTCAACTACATGGGAGTCCAGTGACATAGCCATTATGCTAACTGCTGGTCCCAAGAACAACATTTTCAACAAAGGAATAATGGATAATATATTTGATAAAACAACCCGTATTCAAAAGGAAGAATACATATCTCAACAAACAAGAATAACAGCCCAAAATTTACAAGAGGATGCTTAAAATGTATATGCAGAAAATTCAGTTTTTAGAGTCAGCTGATGGTGTGGTGGTTAAGGCGACTGGCTCCCATATTGCTGACCATATGGTTCAAGTTACAAACCCAGCAGTTTGAGAAAGAAGGGAAAAATGGAGAAGGGATTGCTGCAACTCCATCCTCTATGGGGATTACTTTCTCACTCACTGTCTCTTTTTCTGTCTCCCTTCAGTAAGTGTATGCATCCTATAGCAAATTAAAAAGAAAAGAAAGAAGAAAGTCTAACTTTTTTTTTAGAGAGATTTTCGCTATAGAGTGTGTGAGATCGCCAGAAAGGCAGAAAAAGACAGAGACAGAAAGCGAGAAAGCATCCCCGAGGGGGATGGCCATGCTGGAATCTCTTCTCTTCCGTTCTCCTCTCTGGATTTTGGGCACACACGCACATGCACCCAGCATGAATTTCAAGTCAGCAGGTCCAGGACTTAAACCGCAGTCAAAAACATAGGAGTCCAACAACGTAACCATTATGCCATCTGCTTGGTCTCTTAAATTTTAAATTGTAAAAGCCCTCTGGAAAAGCAGCTTAGAGAGGACTACTCGAATAATAAATTTGGTAAAATAAATACAAGGGTATTTTTTGTTATTTTGTTTGTTTTAATGAACTGAGTAGCACTATTTCCAAAAGAGTAAACACTAACTTACATTACCTTAGTAGGATGTTTTTTCTAGAAGAGGGAAAATAATGACCCCTCCATCCTCAGGGGTTGATCCCATCTTATCTGTTCATTAGTCACCTTATTTTAGACAGTAGAACCTAGAACTGGGTATCCAGGAAACGGAATCACCTGAAAATCCTACAACATGTGGAAAATTGATAGAATTAGTGATCATCAGCCTAAAATAGGAAAACTATAGAAATTTCTTCTTAGTTGATCTTCATGCACTTCAGGGGATGCCATGAGAAGAGATTAGACAGCAAATCATCCTTTCGTGGTTTATAAATTGATGATTGGGTGTTCATGCCATTGTGTGAGATATGCCTTCCTCGAGCTTTATGACAACATCGTCACAGTACCCATCTGATGTGGGGAAAGAAGAAAAGAAAAGAAAGGAGAGAAAGCAAATCAGGTCACAGATGCAGAAAAGGTATGGCAGATCCGATAACCACTCAGTGTAAGAGAAAATAAAACAAGTCAAAAATACACTGAACTCACAAAAGTCTGTACCCAAATGTCTACAGCAGCAATTTTTTTATATAATTACCAAGACCTGAAGGCAACCAAAATGTCTTTCAGTAGGATAGATAAATTGTGGTCCAGACAAAAAACATGATAGTATTCAGTGCTAAGAAGAAATGAGCTCTTAAGCCATAAAAAGACATAAAGCAAACTTAAATGCATATTGCTAACTGAAAGAACCCAATCTGAAAAGTTCCAAGTACATATGACACTCTGGAAAAAGTAGTACTACAGAGACAGTAAAATGATCAGTGATCGCTAGGGGTTTGGCGAAAGGAAGAATAAATAGTTGAAGTACAAAAGATGTCTAGGGCAGTGAAACTCTTCTCGTTCTGGGTTTTTGAGACACAAAGCTATTTTCCAGCAGCATCCCCAAATTCATGTTGCCATTTAGCAGTGCTCCAATGGGACACCAGTATTAATTTCTGTGTAAGCAGGGTCGTCTGCACATCTCCTTCACCCGGATTTCCATAAGTGGCAGTGAACACAGTAGAAATTGCATGAGCTTTAGAGCCACACCTGCTAAGATATTTGGAAACAGGGTAACTTTGAACAGGTTACTTCTCCCAAGTTTAATCATATGTAAAAAGTGGAAAATACCTACCTCATTATCTAAAGATAAAATGATAAGTCTCAGCAGAGTGTCTGGCACATGACAAAATGCTTTTGAAATACAGCTACTATTATCATTATTATTAAGGCTTGTCACTTCCTCCTCAACAACCTGCCAAATTACTTGTCAAACAATGCCAAGAGATATATTTGAGCCTGTTCTAGCCCCAGGAAAGTGAGAACGAACTATGGAAACCACCCAGTAAGGGTTGCTGGAACCTTTGGGACTGGAGTGCATCCAGTTATGCCCACAGGAAAATCTACATAAATGTTAATGACCTGCCCAATATTACAAAACACTGCAAGCTTCTTTCCAAATTGACTGAGAAGTTATCTCTGGAAGTTAATTTGTAAACTTTCCTCTATGGACACTGAATTTGTAAAAATAGCATCTGCTTCTTCAAAGTGGGGCAAGAATCTCAATCAGTATGTCTGAGTTAACTTAAAAGTGCCCAGACTAATTGTCCCCCAAAAATTCTCTGGTGATCAGTGAATATCTAGGGTATGCCATAGACAGACAACTACCTACATTGCACAAGTCATCTGGTATGGAGTGGGGTAGGAACTTCAATCTCATCTTGGTTATATAACTAGATATATGTAAGTAGAAAGGAACCACAAGAGAAGGGTTAACTAAATTGTGAATGCTTTGTTTGTATAACAGTGAAACTCTTCTCAAACTGGATTTTTCAGACAAATGCAATTTTTCAGCAGCATCCTAAAATTCAGTGTTTTGGGATTCATTTAGCAGCATTCCTATGGGAGTGCTTGTCACTTCCTCCTCAACAACCTGCCAAATTACTTGCCATGCAATGCCAAGAGATATACTGAGGTTGTTCTAGCCCCAGGAAAATGAGAAGTTGTGGAAACCACCCTGTAGGGGTAGCTGGGAGAGCATCCAGCGCCCAAGATGCTCCTCTCTCTACCTCTGTTGCTACCCCTAATATCAAAAGTTGTTGGAAACATTGAGGAGAGCAAGTTATCTTTCTAAACACACATCAAAAAACAAGGGGAAGTAGGATTATAGTCCTGTTGAGAATAAAATAGAAAAGAAGCAAAAGTTAGATAGAGAGACTTAGATCAAAGGATTGTGGATGGTGTGCCCAGTGAAATGCATTTGAGGAAGCTCAAGTTTCCAGGGAGGCAGAAAGAATTACCAGCTGAGGCTAGTCAACGACTTGAGGTAACAGACAGCAACCATCTTGGATTTTGTAAGAAAATGAGCACATTGTCTGGATCCTAGGAAAACCAACACATGTGACTTTGCAGAATATGCATATGAGAATATGGTCCACAGATCGAAAATCCTGTCCATAAAGTGAAAGATTTGAGGATGAAAGAAATTATACTCTTTTCTAAGACAAAGCTCAGAAACTCAGTGAACCACACATTTCTATTGCCAAGTTAGGGAAGATGAACAGAATAGACTAATCATTACAGACTGTCAGATGGTGGGAGTTTGGATAGAAGGATTTGATTTGTGGGAACTAGTAGTAACTCGTGGGATGGTACTATGGGTTTTAAGATGGGCCTATTGCAAGATTCACACAAAAATCCCTGATGGTGTTGAGGAAAATGAAGAATAGGTTGGCAAGAAGTCGTCTGTTGTGTGCCAGTGATATCAGTAAGGAGAAAAACGAAAGTTTGAGAAAGAGCCATGAACAATGACCGTGACTAATAATGAAGACTTATTTTTCTGAGGGGATGAATAAGAGAGCATGAGCCCAAAATGAAGACAGTTGCTCTAAGGTATTTCCAGTTGGACTCGCCTTTGAATCCTAGAGCGAGGAGGAAGGCTGCAAACAAAATTCTAAAACAGGGATTTAAAACTCAGAAAGGGGGCCAGCAGATGGAGCGCTGTTTAAGGGAACTGGACTCCCACGTGGTCGACCACAGTTTGAGCTCCAGACCTGGCAGCTTGCTTTCTCTTTCCTTCTCTCTCTTTCTCTCTCTGTCTCTCTCTGGTCAAATTAAAATAAACAAATAAAATTTTAAAAGCTAAATAAAATAATTCTTTAAAAAAGAAGAAAAGAAAAAGATCTCAGAAAGACAGCCTGGAGGCCTTGCTCCCAGATTATAGTCCAACAGAGAAAGGAAATTATTCCCCATGCCACACCAGTGGTTTTTCAAGGATTCCAGAAGTCATCCGTGCCTACAGGAAATGAAAGAGTCCAACAGGGGTGACCCACAACAGTTAAGTAGCTTGTGAATACATATGAAATGATCTCTGTGTGTAAAAAAATATTCAGGGGCATTTTGTCAGGAATCAAGGTTCTGTGAGAACAGGAAGGTCAGAGTCAGTATAATTGGCATTGTTCCTGTTGTAGTGAGACAATATCATGTTCTTGTTAATCATGTGAGCTTGGAAATAAAATTATCTACTTTCAAACTCAGGTTCCATGTTGGGACCAGCGGTTAGCATAATGGCTATGTTGCTGGACTCCCATGTAGTTGACTGCAGTTCGTGTCCCAGACCCAGTGGCTTAAAAGTCACGCCAGGCGTGTGTGCGTGCGTGCCCAAGATCCCAAGAGGAGAATGGAGGAGAAGGGATTTGCGGCGTGGCCACCTCCTCGGGGGATGATTTCTCACTTTCTGTCTCTCTGTCTCTCTCTGTTTCTGTCTGTCTGGCAAGTGCACGCTCCCTATAGCAAAAAAACTCTCCAAAAAAAGAAAAAGGAAAAAAGAAATTCAGGTTCCATGTAAACTAATTGCGTGAACTTGTGCAAATGATTCACTACCACCTCTAGAGCTCAGCTTTCACATCTACAAAATAGGCATAATCTCAGGACCTAACTCAGAGAGGTTGTGAGGATTAACTCAATAAAGACCTTGAAAGACTCCCTGGCATATAAAATTCGCTCAACAGATATTAAATTTGTTGCTGTTTTGCTTTGATTTGTTTCCTAATATGTATAATCACTGACTGGTGACACCTAAGAAAACATGCAAAAGAAATAATATCTTCACCTGTAACAAAAAGTAATTTTATCATCAATATCAAACCCACTTCCCTCAATAAGATTTGAGGGAGCTTCTAAACTTCTGCTGGGGCTCATTGATTTATATACAGAAACCTCCAGTTCTAAAAATTAAAGGAAGCTTACAGTGAGATGTATTCAAGGAGGTATAAATAAATTATGATGGTAATATAAAATGGAACCAAATCGCATTATAAAACTATATAAAAAATGTACACCTAGGCTAGCTAGTTATATATAGAAAGGTAAAGATCCTCAAAAAGAGATAGAATCCTGTTTTGGTATGCCCTCTGGCTAGTAAGGCTGACACAGATACAATTCATTGGTATTAATATTAGCCTCCTTATATTTTCAGTGCACAATTTTGATAGAGCCAAGCATAGAACTGCTCTCTCTGTACACAGCCCATGCACAAAAGCCTATCAGAGGATATGAGAAGAGTAAAGTAATGAACTTCGATCTGTTTTCCTGCCTCAGTAAAATCCTATATAACCAAGTCATTGGACCAATTTAAATATGGAATCCCATGGAATGAAAAGCTAAAAAACAATAGTAAATAGTGTGAATATGCATCAGCAGAGTTGAATATATTCATATTTCTTAAATATTCAGCACCATTTAGGGATTGTTTAGCAACTGCTTAACAGAAGTCACCTTATAAAGAAAATACATTTTAAAATTGAATGATGCAGGTAGTTGATCACACAAGCAATTTGTCCATAGTTGGAAACTGTTGGATTGGTAAAAGTAGTATAAGTTTTCCCAGTCGTGGGACCAGCAGATAGGAGAATGGTTACATCACTGGACTCCCATGTAGTAGACCGCAGTTCGAGACCGCAGTTCGAGTCACAGACCCGGAGTCTTAAAACTCACACTGGGTGCATGTGCATGCATGCCCAAAATTCTGAAAGGAGAATGGAGGAGGGATTTTAGTGTGGTCATCTCCTCTGGGGGATGATTTCTCACTTTCTGTCTCTCTGTCTTTCTGGCAAGCACACATGTCCTAGAGCAAAAATCTCTTTCTAAAAAAAAAAGAAAAGAAAAGAAAAAGATTTGTCCGTCATAAAATGTTATTGATATCCCTCTCTAAACCTGAAATAAGCACTATTATTTAAAATCTGGAGAAAAAGAATGAAAGCATGAAGCTTAATTTTCCCCACTTTTAGAAGATGCAATAAATCAGGCTTAGGAATATCGAAAAGATGAAACACTAAGGAGACAAAAATTCCTACTGAATTTTATAGAGGATGAGTTTT